CATGGATTTTGCATCCGTGTTATACTACCACTAGATGGCAGCACAGTGACATTCTGACCATCATAACTAAGCACCAGGAAACTGGCTTGAAGACTGAAAGAGAACTGAGACACGCATTGCCTTCATCCATCCATCCATTCAATAGTCACTGGCTCCAAAAAGAACTCTTGATAATGATATGGTCAACTTAAAACAGTATTATCAGAACCATATTTAAAGATGACTGGGGCCAGTGCGGTGGTGTAGTGGGTAAAGTTGCTGCCTACAGTGCTGGCATCCCAAATGGACACAGGTTCAAATCCCAGCTGTTCCACTTCTGATCCAGCTGCCCACTAATGCACTTGGGAAAGCTGTAGAAGATGGCCCAAGTTCTTGAGTCCCTGAACCCACATGGGAGACCCAGAAGAAGCTCCTGGCTCCTGGCTTCATATAGGCCCAACTCCGGCTGTTGGGGCCATTTGGGGAGTGAACCAGTGAATGGAAGAGCTTTCTCTCCCTCTCTCTCTCTACCCCTACCTCTCCTCCGTAACTCTTTTAAATAAATAAATCTTTTTAAAAAAGGACTGCACTGGGGCCGGCGCCGTGGATCACTTGGCTAATCCTCCGCCTGTGGCGCCGGCACCTCAGGATGGCCCAAGTGCTTGGACCCTGCACCCGCATGGGAGACCGGGAAGAGGCACCTGGCTCCTGGCTTTGGATCGGTGCAGCATGCCGGCTGTAGCAGCCATTTAGGGAGTGAAACAACGGAAGGAAGACTTTTCTCTGTCTCTCTCTCTCACTGTCTATAACGCTACTTGTCAAATAATAAATAAATAAAAATTTTAAAAAAAGGACTGAAGGACACTGCACAGTAAAGAAACAGAACATTGTTCTACACGATCAGTATAGATGTGAAGTTTAAAAGTAGGTGCTAGTATGCTTTCAAGCTCAAGAAGCAAGCATTAAATTTGAAAGTCAATGTTTTGAAACCAGATGAAGCAATCATCATGCATACAGCTGCCAAAAGAGGCACTTTAGTACCCTGTTTACCAATTTCTACCTACTATTTTTCCCTTGTCCCCTCTCAAATGAACAAACACTTGGTTCCTATGCTTTACATATTTGCCGCTTATTCCCATATATCCCTTTTCCTGCACCATTGTTTCCAACCTAAATTTCACCTTCCTCTGTGAGTTTTATCTTCTCTCCTAACAGACCTTTACAAGACTACCCCAAAACTAATGACAGAGTGGATTAGTCTCCCAATCTGACTTCTTTAGTTCAAACTGTCTTTTGCATGCACATCAAAAAAAGCAAAATGTGGCATACATCAATGAACAAAAGGGTGATTTTATTCTTTCTATATGGAGAGACTATGGTATAAAATAAAGGATAGCTTTGCTGTCTAAGGGAATGGCTTTTAAATCTTTTTAGAACCTGACTCTCAATCAGATATAGAAGGAATATTCAAAAAATTCCCTGTGCCTGAGCTGCTTCTCTGACAGTCACTGAGTCTTCTCTCTGCATCCAGCTCTGGTCAAAGAGACCCCTTGTGACTTCAGCTTCTTGAATGACTCCAACCCTGGCTTCTCCCACCTCTCTTTGTCCCTCCAACCTCAGAGGATTAGTGGCTTCTGCTATTGCTACTCTCTGGTCGCCTCACATTTCCCTACCATAGAAAGCATGAATTAATGTTCTTTATGTATATGGGTGTCCAATTGTTTTGACTTACATTTATTGAAAGTACTTCCTTTTATCTACTAAATGCTTGTGCTCTCTTGTCAGAAATGAGCTAACCATATATTTCTGGATATATTTCTGGATTCTCGATTTTTTTTTCATTCACTACCATGTCTATTTTTTCATCAGTTCCAGTCTTGGTAACTGTAGTTTTAGATGAATTATTGAAATCAGATTTGTAATGGCTTCAACTTTTTAAAAGTTGTTTTGACTATTATAGTTAATTTATAGTTAATTTTTTTTTCACAGGCAGAGTGGATAGTGAGAGAGAGAGACAGAGAGAAAGGTCTTCCTTTCCCGTTGGTTCACCCTCCAATGGTCGCCACGGCTGGTGCGCTGCGGCCAGCGCACTGCGCTGATCTGAAGGCAGGAGCCAGGTGCCTCTCCTGGTCTCCCATGGGGTGCAGGGCCCAAGCACCTGGGCCATCCTCCACTGCACTCCTGGGCCACAGCAGAGAGCTGGCCTGGAAGAGGGGCAACCGGGACAGAATCCGGCTCCCCGATCGGGACTAGAACCCGGTGTGCCGGCGCCGCTAGGAGGAGGATTAGCCTATTGAGCTGTGGCGCCGGCCAATTTATAGTTAATTTTAAAATCAGCTTTTCAATATTTACAAAAGTGTCTGCTAGGATTTTGATTGAGATAGCACTGATTCTATAGACCATTGTGGAGAAAATTCACAACAATATTCAATCTTCTAATCTATGAACACTTTAAATCTTAGAGACTATTTTTTAGTCCAAAATGTTTTTCCTGGTATTTCTTTTGTAACCTGTTAGTCTGAAACATGCAGAACTTATAAGGAGGATTTAACTGCTGGAGCCTCATGATGAAAGGCGTGAAAGCAGGAATTCATCATAGAATTGACCTCAACTACTTTTATGTTCAAGGCCAAAGGTTAATGGCCTGGGCTCTGAAGTCTTTCTCCCCTGGATTGATTTCTGCATCTGACTTTTGCTACCTCATGATCTTGAGCAAATTACTTAACCTTCCTTAAGTTGTTTCTTCATCTGTAAAATGGGATAAGAATGGTGTTCCAATGAGCTATCATGTAGACAAAAAATGAGATAAAAATGTATAAAACAGTACAATGATTTGTCACAGTAAGTATTCAGTAAATTAGTACATGTACTATGAAAACTGGAATGAACTTAGTCTGTTTGAAAATCAAGAGGAACAACTTTTTTCAAGCCCAACTCACTTCCTTTTAAGGTCCTATTGCTCACTTCTGAGTGTCTGGGAGCAGTGCCATTGCCAATCAAGGAGAAAAAGAGGCCCTGATTCAGTCCATGAGGCAAGAAAGAAATCACTGTGAAACCCAAAGTTGGAGATTATCCACATTATGGTTTGAATGTGTCCCCCAAAACTTTGTTTGTTGGAAACTTAATTTCAAATTCATATGTTAATGATATTTGGAGGCGGGGCTTTTGAGAGGCAATCGGGATTAAGTGAAGTCACAAAGGTGGGGCCACCATGATGCCACTGATTTTTTTTTTTAAAGATTTATTTATTTATTTGAAAGAGTTACACAGAGAGAGGAGAGGCAGAGAGAGAGAGAGAGAGAGGTCTTCCATCTGATGGTTCACTCCCCAATTGGCCGCAACTTCCAGAGCTGCGCAGATCCAAAGCCAGGAGCCAGGAGCTTCTTCTGGGTCTCCTACATGGGTGCAGGGCCCAAGGACTTGGGTCATCTTCTACTGCAATCCCAGGCCACAGCAGAGAGCTGGATTGGAAGTGGAGCAGCCAGGTTTTGAACCGGCGCCCATATGGGATGCCAGCGCTTCAGGCCAGGGCGTTTGCACCACAGCGCCGGCCCCAACCACTGATGGTTTTATAAGAATAATGATCTGAGCTAGCGCACCTGCTCTGTTGCTGGGTCACGCCCTCCACCATGCTGTGACACAGCAAGGAGGCCCTCACCAGATACTGCTGCCATGTGCCTGCACTTCCTAGCCTCCAGAACTGTGAGCTAAATGCACCTCTGTTCTTTGTAAATTAACTAATAACTGGTGGTATTCACTCATTACAACAGAAAACAGATTGTGGCAGATCATTTACTCTTGCACCTAATGTCATTGGATTAGGTGTCATTGGATTCTAAGTCAGCAGAAATCAGGTGGGGTCTACACCTTCTTTATAATCTCCCCAGTTCTTAATTTGGATTTCTCTCTCTTTTTTATTTTTATTTTTATTTATTTGACAGGTAGAACTATAGACAGTGAGAGAGAGACACAGAGAGAAAGGTCTTCCTCCCATTGGTTTACTCCCCAAATGGCCGCTACGGCCGGCACTGCACCGATCCGAAGCCAGGAGCCAGGTGTTTCTTCCTGGTCTTCCATGTGGGTGCAGGGGCCCAAGCACTTGGACAATCCTCCACTGCCCTCCTGGGCCACAGCAGAAAGCTGGATTGGGAGAGGAGCAACCGAGACTAGAACCTGGCGCCCATATGGGAGGCTGGCACCACAGGCGGAGGATTAACCAAGTGAGCCACTGCACCAGCACCCTTAATTTGGATTTCTAATGTGAGTATTGAAAATATGCAGACATTATAGTACTGTGGGAAGAATGCTGGATTTAAAGTCAGAACACGTTGACAGTAGCTTGGACTTTGACACTTTTTACCAGTGTGACCTTGTGCAAGTAACTTAGCATTTCTGTGCCCTGGTTTCCTCATCTATAAGTGGACATATGATATTATCCAATAAAATCTTCTTGAATCAGCTGTATCTTCAAATGTTTTCAAAATTAACATTTTATTATATCTTAAATAGAAAATATATTTGATGCTTCACACATGGCTATTCAAATTTGAATTATATGAATCCTCTATGATATGATAATTATCTCTGTGGAAGTATTTGTTATTACTTCTGTGATTCTGTGATTGAGTCTATAAAATAATAATCCACCTGATCACTGAATGGCAGTGCTTTAATGCTTTAATAATGCCACAACACCAGCCCTTAGGTAAACTTCTAACCCTTAGAATCACACACACAGCCTGTTGTTAGGTAATGAGGCCTCTAGTCATCCCAGCTTCATCTCTTTGCCACTTTCCAACATGTACCCAAATACATGATCTGATCTGCAGTTTTCCTCAAAAGAAATTCTGTACACAATGATAGTCAAAACCCACCCTAACTCTAACCATGGGCATCCACTAATCTTTCTATCTCTATACATTTGCCCATTTTGAACATTTAATATAAACGGAACTATATGATATGATATGTGGGATTTGAGATTTTTTTTTTAAGATTTATTTTATTTATTTGAAATACAGAGTTACAGAGAGAGGTAGAGACAAAGAGAGAGGACTTCCATCTGCTGGTTCACTCCCAAGATGGCCACAACGGCTGGAGCTGCGCCAATCCGAAGCCAGGAGCCAGGAGCCTCTTCCGGGTCTTCCACGTGGGTGCACGGGCCCAAGGACCTGGGCCATCTTCCACTGCCTTCCCAGGCCACAGCAGAGAGCTAGATCGGAAGTGGAGCAGCCAGGACTAGAACCGGCACCCATATGGGATGCTGGTGCTTCAGACCAGGACTTCAACCCGCTGTGCCACAGCGCTGGCCCCAATAGGTGGGATTTTTGTGTATGGATTCATTCACAAAGCATAATATTCCAAAGATTTATCCATTTTGTGGCATGTATGATGTTTCCTTTTTGTTGCTAAATAACACTTCAGTTATTTTAGTTTTGCATTCCTGCTATAACAAATTAACATAAGCTTAAAACAATGAAAAAACTTTATATTACATTTCTGCAGATCAGAAATCTGGAGTTGGTTTCAATGGGCTAAAATCAAGATATTGTCAGGGATGCATACCTTTTGGGTGCCCCAGGGGAGAATCTATTTCCTTGCCTTTTTCAGATTCTAAAGGTGATTGCATTCCTTGACTAGTGACCTCCTTCCTCCACTTTCTTTCTTTTTTTAGATTAACTTATTTATTTGAAAGGCAGAGTTAAAGAGAGAGAGAGTAAGGAGCAGAAAAGGAGAGAGATCTTCCAACCACTGGTTCACTCTCCAAATAGCACAGTGACTGAGGTTGAGACAGGCCAAAGCCAGAAGCATCCAGGTTTCCTACATAGGTAAAGGGGCCCAGGGACGAGGGACATCTTGCGCTGCTATCTCAGGCACATTAGCAGGGAGCTGGATCTGAAGTGGAGTAGCTGGGACTCGAAGCAGCATCCGTATGTGATGCCAGTGTCACAGAAAAGAAATAACATCTTTCTGAGAGTCTCTTCTATCTCCCTCTTCTACTTTTAAGGACTCTTGTGATTACATTCAAGCCACATGGATAATTTCCCCACTTAAAAGACCAGCTGAGGGCTAGGATTATGACTCAGTGAATTAGGCTGCTGCCTACAACACCAGCATCTCAAATGAGTGCTAGTTTGTGTCCTGGCTGCTCTAGTTCCCATATAAATCCCTGCTAATGTGCCTGGGAAAGCACTGGTAGATGTCCCAAATAATTGGGCCCCAGCCACCTAAGTGGGAGAGCTGGCTGGAGCTCCAGGCTCCTGACTTTGTCCTGGCCCAGCCCCAGACATTGTGGCCACTTGGGGAGTAAACGAATGGATGGAAGAGCTCTGTATTTCTCCTCTCTCTGTAACTCTTTTAAACAAAATAAAATAAAATAGATCTTTAAAAATAAGACCAGCTGATTAGCAATTCTAATTTCATCTATTACTTTAATGCCTCTTTGTCAGGTAATATACCATTCACATTTCTGAGGGTTAGGATACAGACATACAATGATTTGCCTACCACTTATTGTAAACACATCACATTTATTTATTCATTTATCAATTGATGGATATTTGAGTTGTGTCCACTTTTGGCAATTATGGTTAATGCTGCTATAAATATTTCAAATGGACATATGATTTCATTTCTCTTGGGGATATAACTAGGAGGGGAATTGCTGCATCATAAAATTTACCTTTTTAGGAAAATTGTTCTGGCTCAGAATGGAGAGCATTTAGGGTGATATATGTATGTTAGGTAAACAAATAACACCTATTGGTGAAGTCTTCAGAAAGAAAACATTCAAATTGGATCTTTACAAGTTATATAATAATATATTGGTTTTGTTTTAATTGTGAAAGTATTAAATTAAAGTAAAGGATTCAGAAATACTATAGAAATTTTATTTTAAAAAATAAAAATCCTTAATACTGCACAACCTGGCAAAAACTATTGTTAATGTTCTGCAGTATTTGCTTTGGGTTTACGTGTGTGTGTAAATGGAGTTCATATTGTATATATGTTTCTATTTCTTATTCTTTTTCAGAAGATTTATTTATTTGAAAAGCAGAGTGATAGAGAAAGAGAGATCATTCATCCACTGATTCACTCCCAAAATGAGTGCAACAGCTAGGGCTGAGCCAGTGGAAGTCAGGACCCAGGAATTCCATCCTAGTTTGCCACATAGATGTCAGGGGCCCAAGTACTTGGGCCATCTTCTACTGCTTTCCCAGGTTCATTTGCAGGCAGCTTAATCAAAAGTGGAGAAACTGGGGTCCAAACCAGCACTTTGATGTGGAATATAGGCATTACAAGTGGCAGCTCAACCTGCTGCACCACAAAACAGACCCCTATATCCTATTATTTTCTGTCAACATATGTCACAAACATTTCCCCATATCATAAGCTTTCAAAAACAATAATGAGGCTGGCGCCGCGGCTCACTAGGCTAATCCTCTGCCTTGTGGTGCTGGCACACCGGGTTCTAGTCCCGGTCGGGGTGCCGGATTCTGTCCCAGTTGCCCCTCTTCCAGGACAGCTCTCTGCTATGGCCAGGGAGTGCAGTGGAGGATGGCCCAGGTGCTTGGGCCCTGCACCCCATGGGAGACCAGGAGAAGCACCTGGCTCCTGCCTTCAGATCAGCGCGGTGCGCTGGCCGCGGCGCGCCGGCCGTGGCGGCCATTGGAGGGTGAACCAACGGCAAAGGAAGACCTTTCTCTCTGTCTCTCTCTCTCACTACCCACTCTGCCTGTCAAAAAAAAAAAAAAAACAATAATTATAGCTATATAGTATTCCAGATTAAAATATCATCTCTTAATTAATTAATCCTCTACTATAGAATATTTAGGTTGATATTCATTTTTCTATTATGACAGGTAATACTATGAGGAGCTTTCTTGTTCTTATATCTCTTCTTTGAGCAGCTTCTTTTTTAAAAAAATTATTTATTTGAAAAACAGAGATACAGAGAGAAGGAGAGAGAGAGATCGAACTTCCATCCACTGGCTCACTCCCCAAATGGCCACAGCAGCTGGGGCTGGGCAGGCCAAAGCCAGGAGCCTCTTCCAGGTCTCCCATGTGGGTACAGGGACCCAAGCACTTGTGATATCTTCTGCTGCTTTCCCAGATGCATTAGTAGGGAGCTGGATTGGAAGTGGAGCAGCCAGCACTGGAAACGGTGCCCATATGGGATGCTGATACTGCAGGCAAAGGCGTAATCTTCTATAACACAGCACTACCACCCCCTTTTTAAAGATTTATTTATTTGAAAGGCAAATATACAAAGACAAGGGGGAAGGTGGGGAGAGAGAGAGAGAACTGCATCTTAATGAATAAACTGAGTATAACAGAAAATCTGGCAAGATGATGGTCTCACAAAAACATACCAACAGATGCCTTTGTGCACAAATCCTGAGAAAGACAGGCATCAGTGTTCAAACCAAGACTCATATATTAAAGACCACAGCTTGCCTTCAAAATTATTGATGATGCAAAGTTTTACCCAGCCATGATAATAATCTATCATTGATACTGGTAACATGAAACTATCAACTGAATACTGGAATGATTAAACTTCACCTCTTCTAATCCAAGAGTTGTTTGTGTTTTTAAACTAAATATTGCAAGATTGAAACAAAAGAAAACTTTAAGCCCAGGGGGAGCATTTCAGGCATGGAAAGCCAAGACACTCTGGGAAAAAATGTCCTACATAAAGGACCCCTGTGGGTGAGACCCCAGTGGAAAGAAGTGGCCACCAAAGAAGGTACTTTTCTCTGAAGGGAAGAGAGAACTTCCACTTTGCTTATGGCCTTGTCAAGCTACTGGATCCAAAAAGGCTTCCATAGCTGAGGCAATTCATGTCAAGAGCCTTGGGTGATCACTGATGTCATGCATAAGAGTGTTATTTGTTAAATAAACAAGAGTCACTGTGCACTAACTTCCCATGCAAGACCTCTGTCTACACAGTTGTATCATGAGACTTTTTTTAATAGAAAACTTTTATTTAACAAATACAAATTTTGAAAGTACATCTTGGTGGCTGGTGCCATGGCTCAATAGGCTAATCCTCTGCCTTGCAGCACCGGCACACCAGGTTCTAGTCCTGGTCGGGGCTCCGGATTCTGTCCCAGTTGCCCCTCTTCCAGGCCAGCTCTCTGCTGTGGCCCAGGAGCGCAGTGGAGGATGGTCCAAGTGCTTGGGCCCTGCAACCGCATGGGAGACCAGGAGAAGCACCTGGCTCCTGCCTTCGGATCGGTGCGGTGCGGTGCGGCGGCCATTGGAGGGTGAACCAACGGCAAAGGAAGACCTTTCTCTCTGTCTCTCTCTCTCGCTGTCCACTCTGCCTGTCAAAAAAAAAGAAAAAAAGAAAAAAAAAAAAGAAAGTACATCTTGGGACCAGCGCCGTGGCTCACTTGGTTAATCCTCTGCCTGCAGTGCTGGCATCCCAAATAGGCTCCAGGTTCTAGATCAATTGCTCCTCTTCCATTCTAGCTCTCTGCTGTGGCCCAGGAGGGCAGTGGAGGATGGTCCAAGTGCTTGGGCCCTGCACCTGCATAGGAGACCAGGAGGAGGCCCCTGGTTCCTGGCTTTGGATTGGCACAGCTCTGGCCATTGTGGTTACTTGGGGAGTGAACCAATGGAAGGAAAATCTGTGTCTCTGTCTCTGTCTCTCACTGTCTGCAACTCTATCTGTCAAATAAATTTTTTTTAAAAGTATATCTTTTGGATTATAGCAGTTCTTCCCCACATAACCACCCTCCCACCCGCAAACTATCCCATCTCCTACTCCCTCTCCCATTTCATTCTTCATTAAGATTCATTTTTAATTATCTTTATATACAGAAGATCAACTCTATACTGAGTAAAGATTTCAACAGTTTGCACCCACACAAACACACAAAGTATAAAGTACTGTTTGAAGACTAGTTTTACCATTAATTCTCATAGTACAACACATTAAGGACAGAGGTCCTACAAGGGGAGCAAGTGCACAGTGACTCCTGTTGTTGATTTAACAATTGACACTCTTATTTATGACGTCAGTGATCACCCAAGGCTCTTGTCATGAGCTGCCAAGGCTATGGAAACCTTGTGAGTCCACAAACTCCGACCTTATTTAGACAAGGCCATAAGCAAAGTGGAAGCTCTCTCCTCCCTTCAGAGAAAGTTACCTCTTTCTTTGATGGCCCCTTCTTTCCATCGGGATCTCACTCACAGAGATCTTTCATTTAGGTCATTTTTTGCCACAGTGTCTTGCTTTAAATGTCTGAGATACTCTCATGGGCCTTTCAGCCAGATCCAAATGCCTTAAGGGCTGATTCTGAGGCTAGAGTGCTGTTTAGGGCATTTGTCATTCTATGCTTCTGCTGTGCATCCCGCTTCCCATATTGGATCGTTCCCTCCTTTTTAATTCTATCAATTATTATTAGCAGACACTGATCTTATTTATGTGATCCCTTTGACACTTAATCCTATCTTTATGATCAGTTATGAACTTAAACTGATCACTTTAACTAGTAAGGTGGCATTGGTACCTGCCAACTTAATGGGATTTGGATTCCCATGGCAAGTTTTTAGCTTTACCCTTACAGTAAGTCTGAGGGAGCGTGTGCCAAACTGTACATCTCCTCCCTCTCTTATTCCCATTCTTATTTTTTAAAGGATTTATTTACTTATTTGAAAGAGTTACAGAGAGCGGTAGAGACAGAGAGAGAGGTCATCCATCCACTGGTTCACTCCCCAGATAGCCGCAACGGCTGAAGCTGTGCTGATCCAAAGCCGGGAGCCAAGGGCCCTGCATGGAAGACCCGGGGTCTTCCATGTGGGTGCAGTGGCCCAAGGACTTGGGCCATCTTCTACTGCTTTCCCAGGCCATAGCAGAGAGCTGGATCGGAAGAGGAGGAGCCAGGACTAGAACCAGCGCCCATGTGGAATGGTGGCACCTTAGGCCAGGGCTTTAACCTTCTGTGCCATAGTGCCAGCCCTAAATCATGAGACTTAATAGTAAAACTTGTTCTCAAGAATCACCTCCTTTTACTGTATTAAAAGGAAGATATATATTATGTTTCATAAGTTATAGTCATGTGTGAGGACTCACAAAAGATGTATTATCTTTGGATTCTTTAAAGACAATTAAGTTTCAAAAAGAAAAGTAGGGGAGGAAGGAAGGGAAAAGAAGGGAGTAAAAAGTGAAAACACCTTCGAGAAGCAGTAACAAAGAACAGCCCTTATCTAGACTGTTGAGGAACAGTTCTCTTAGTTTTTTTACTCTATTACTTCTCTCTCTTTCTTTCTTTTTCCTTTTCTTTCTCAGACCATATTGGGGACGGGGGGTGTAGGAGGATGGGGGCAGTGGGACGTGTTCCTAATGTTGTATTTACAAGAGAACAAGATACATATAAATAAATAGATAGATAATTAAATAAATAAATATAAAGCAAACTTTACTGTTAAGGAAGTCATGCCAATTGATAGATACTACTTTACATATGTGCTTACAAAGTGGAATTTCAAGCATCAGCTAGCACATATGTAATGTATTCAAGAACAGCTAAACTTGCTGGAATCCCTTAAATACACCATGAAGCTGGGGTCGCCTGCTTATACATAAGAGCATTCCTGCCTGTGTGGTCTGATGTGGATATAACCTGATGATGGATGTGTCAAAGAATTGCATGGTTATAATTTGTTTATTGGGTAGTTGGCATGAGACATCAATTATGTTTAAGCAAGAAGGCTAAGTTGCTACATACATTGCAATCAACAGAGCAACATTAAAATGGTTTTATTTTAAATTTGCATTCTAGTTTTTTTTAAAGATACCATCTAGCTTTTTTTCTTAATGTTTTTGTATGCACATTATGCAAAATTTATAGCAACACATCATTTACCTAATCATTCCATGGAGCAAGAGAGACAAGATGGAATAAAGGCAAATCAGTGTGAAAATAAATCATAGCCTATTCCTCATTTTATTTTAGGTTACAAAGCAGAGAACAGTTAAGTATTTTTAAATAAATGAGGAAGCTGATTATATCAATAAATAAAATAACTGAAATACAATTCAAGATAACTTCATTTAAATGAGCTAAAATAGTCCAACCTATCCTATTCTGGTCCTAATTTCAATCTTAAATCTTCCAAAAGTTATCAAGTTTACCTGGCTTCCCTCCTTAAAAAATGTAAGCAAGAAAATACAAAACCCACAGGGCAAAATAAAGCAAAGGAGTCTGATGTCAAATATGTTTATTTTTCTAGAGGGTAGTAAATTAGTAACAAATGTGTTCTGGGTCTGAATACTGGAGGCAGACATATTGGGAATAGGATTCCTGGCACATGTGAGTCCCAACTGGTAGCATAACTAGTAATTAATGTATTGGAATCAATTCCAATAAATTGGATATTATAGGTTTCTTTTATCAACTTTCCTTGTGATTCTTCACTGATTTATTAGATGATAAACATTCTTAAAGTTTTGTATTGATTTTTTTAAGATTTACTTATTTATTAATTTATTTGAAAGGCAGAGTTACAGAGAGGCAGAGGCAGAGAGAGAGAGAGAGGTCTTCCATCTGCTGGTTCACTCCCCAGATGGCCACAATGGTCAGAGCTGTGCCAATCAGAAGCCAGGAGCCAGAAGCCTTCTCAAGGACTTGGGCCATCTTCCACTGCTTTCCCAGGCCATAGCAGAGAGCTGGATTGGAATCAGAACAGCCGGAACTCAAACTAGCACCCATATGGGATGCCGGTCCGGTACTGCAGGTGGCAGCTTTACCTACTATGCCGCAGCGCCCCCTGTATTGATTTTAATAAGTCAAGTTTATTTCTGGATGAGGGAAAGGATAAAAGGAAGACTAGAGAGAATGTTATGTCATGAGTTGTTCCAAGGTAACGCAAAAGAAGAGGATGACCGCCAAGGAATCTGTGGCTAGGATATCAAGGTAAGTGATTGGTATTCTATATAAATTTCAGACAGTCTTAGCATATGTGACTCATCCATTTACTAATCCAGGGTAAAATTTGTTTGCTTTTGTGGCCGAACTAATCCCATCTGTTTCAAAGGACTCTTGCCCACAATTATGCCCTATTTTTATTTAGCTTACACGGAACAGTCATTTTGTTGGTTTTATTTTTCCCCAAAAATTTTGGGTCAGAGCAATACTATATTTGAAGTGGTTTTTGTGAGTTTCTCTATGCTTGTTTTGATATCCCATTGGAACAAGGTGTGTCCTTTATAGATTTTCTGGTTTTTATAAAGAATTGTTTTCTATATAAAAATCACATGTTTAAATTTTTTCCCTTACATTTTTATCCTTTTAGAATAAAAGTATCCTATGAAAAAGGGGAGAACATAGTTTGAGCAAACATATCAAGTTTTAAATGCTACCATCCTGAGCACGTGTTGTGGTCAGTGGGTTAAGCTGCTGCTTGAGATACCCAAATCTCATTATTGGGTTTGGGTCCCAGCTCTGCTTTCTTTTTTAAAGATTTATCTATTTATTTGAAAGTCAGAGTCACACACAGAGAAGCAGAGGCAGAAAGGGGTCTTCCTTCTGCTGGTTCACTCCCCAGATGGCCGCAACAGACAGAGCTGCGCCGATCCAAAGCCAGGAGCCAGAAACTTCTGGGTCTCCCATGCAGGTGCAGGGGCCCAAGCTCTTGGGTCATCTTCCACTACTTTCCCAGGCCATCCAGCTCTACTTTTAATCCAGCTCCCTGGTAATGCACACCCTGGGAAGCAGCAGGTTATCACTCAAGTACTTGGACCCTGTCATCATGTAGGAGACCTGGACGAAATTCCTGGCTTCTGGCTTTGCCCTGACCCAGTTCTGTCTTGCAGGCATTTGGGGAATGGATCAGAAGGCTCTCTCACTTTCTCTTTCTGTCATCTTGACTTTCAAAAAAATGAAAAAGAAGTAAAACTTCAAAAATAAATGCCACCATCCTCTTCTCTCATTTCCCTATTTATTTATTTATTTATTTGCATGGCATGTTTTGTTTTTGATGCAATAGGAGATACATATTTGTTCTTGTCTGTTGCTTAATTTTTCTGTCTCTTCAGATTCTGCTGTCTAATGAGCTCTAACAGGCCTTTATACTAGAGCGTTGTAAAAAAAAGTGTATTCATGGGCAGAATAATGTGCTTTATATTTCTATATTTGTGATGGTCGATGTGACAAAGTTTGGCTAGCAATGAGTCAAAGCTAAAAAGCCAGAAAGCAAGAAATATGTCATTAAACACTCAACAAACATTTGTTGAACAATTTTTACATGCAGGGAACCCAGCTGATTACTGGAAAAGTTACAAAGGTATGAAAAGTCCAGTTCTTAAAGATTTATTTCTTTATTTGAAAGGCAGAGTCATAGAGAGAAAGAAGAGAGACAGAGAGGGAAATTGTCCCTTCCCCAAATGGCCTCAACGGCTGGGGCTGGACCAGGCCGGAGCCAGGAGCCCAGAGCTTCTTCTGAGTCTCCCACCTGGGTACAGGGTCCCAAGGACTTGAGCCATATTTCACTGCTTTCCCAGGTGCATTAGCTGGGAGCTGGATCAGAAGTAGAACCAGGGCTGGCGCCGTGGCTCAACAGGCTAATCCTCCACCTTGCGGCGCTGGCACACCGGGTTCTAGTCCCGGTCGGGGTGCCGGATTCTGTCCCGGTTGCCCCTCTTCCAGGCCAGCTCTCTGCTGTGGCCAGGGAGTGCAGTGGAGGATGGCCCAAGTGCTTGGGCCCTGCACCCCATGGGAGACCAGGAAAAGCACCTGGCTCCTGGCTCCTGCCATCGGATCAGCGCGGTGTGCTGGCCGCAGCGGCCATTGGAGGGTGAACCAACGGCAAAGGAAGACCTTTCTCTCTGTCTCTCTCTCTCACTGTCCACTCTGCCTGTCAAAAAAAAAAAAAAAAAAAAGAAACCAGTCAGGTCTCGAACTAGCACCCATATGGGATGCTGGCACTGCAGACTGCTGTGCCACAATGCTGGCTCCCAAAGTGAAGTTCTTACCTTTAGTGAACTTAACAGTCAAATGGAAAAGACAGTCACATAACCAAATCACAGTACAAATTATGAAAGATGTTTGGAAAGTAAATTTATAAAATTGTGCAACCATCTCCACAATCCAGTTTTAGAACATTTCCATTACTACAAAAAATTCCCTTGTGTGCCTGTTTGCAGTAAATCCCCTACTCCTTCCCCCAGCCTCAAGTAACCATTAATCTGTTCTGAGTCGAGAGTTAATTTGACCTCACTACTGAGACAGCACCCTTCTAAGGACTCTACCCAAGGTTAGAGGAACATGAACTATTCCTAGTTTTGTAGAAATAACCCTCTAGGGATTTTTCTTCCTGCTCCTTTCCTGTGGTTCATTCCTCAGTCTTGGTAGTTTCCTCACGTTCAGACTAAAACCTAAAAGGACCTTTAAGCAAATCTGAGTGATTTTCTGTGCACTTCTCTCTTCTCTGATACTTTTCCACATACATTTTCATTTATTAAAGATTTATTTATTTATTTGAAAGGTGAAAAACAGAAAGGGAGAGAGAGAGAGATCTTTCAGCTGCGGGTTCACTCCCCAGATGGCCCCAACAGCTAAGTCTGGGCCAGGCTGAAGCCAGGAGCAAGGAACTCTATCCAGGCCTCTCACATGGGTAGCAGGGGTCCAAGGACTTGAGGCATCTTCTGCTGCCTTCCCATGTGCATTAGCAGAGAGCTGGATTGGAAACAGAGCAGCCAGGACTCAAACTGGCACTCTAATATGGGATGCTGGCCTCACAAGCAGCTGCTTAACCTGCAGTGCTACAACACCAGCCCTGTTCCCTTACATTTCAGTTGCTTTTACCTGCCCAGTCTCCCAACTCTGTCTCTTCCACTCAAAAGACTCTAGGGCTTTTCTTGAGTTTCCTCTGTTTGCCTTGTGGCCTAGGAACTGGGATCCTCATAGAGCTCTCCCCTCATCTTTTTCCTTATTTCCAGGATCACTGTCCTGTGCCGCCCATTGTCCAAAATTTGGAAATCATTGGTTCATATATTTAATTCGGTTTTCTAGCTGTTAGATGTAGGAAAGTAAATCTAGTCTGTTAATCTATTATGACCAGAAGTAGTAGTTATGGTTTTGAGAATATTTTCCTATTACTCCCATGTATGGCTGGTTCTATACAATACAATTCTCAGTTCAGTAGTTAATTAAACCAGTTAATTAAACCAGTTTTGAAATTAAACAGTAAATCTATAAATATTTGTGTATATCTATATTTTAAACCATAAAAATTATGGTGAATCAGTGAAAACCTCTTTATACTGTTAAGACCTGTAATACTTGACCATACTTGTATTACGTCAATCTAGTAATAATCTATTCCTTTCCCATTGTATGTAGATTTGTTATCTTAAATTTCATATCGAATGGGGAGAGGTATCAAATGATTCATTAGTTTTAAAATTAAAAAATAAAAAATTTATTTTTTAACTTCTTGCATTACATTGCAAGTTTGCTTAGCAGAGAGGAGGAGAATGACAGTAATTGAATAATAGAAGCACTGAGTCACACAGCCAACATCCCACATGATGAATTTTTGGTGCTCTCATCCAAACTGTCGTATTTGTATTTTTGTCAAACTATTGAAGGACACATATAACAATAAATGTTCTTTAATCAGGATTTTATAGCTCCTAGTGACAGAAATCCCACCTAAACTAGTGAAGCAAAAAAGGAAATTAAATGGATAATGTAAAAATCCATAGTTATTAGGGCTTGTTTCAGATGCAGCTGTACACAGGGCCACATGCTGTTATTACATTTCTATTTTCTTTTCCCAATCTGACTCCACATCCTTTCTTTTGGCTCCTTTCTTAGACAAGTTCTCCTATCCTGGTGGTAGGATGGCTACCTAGGAGTGCATATTTTCACTTCATATTTCCAAGTATTCCAAGCAGAAGCACCAAGATTCACTCTGGATCAGCCCCAGGCATATGTCTACCTCTGATCACTTTGGCAAGGGAAATGTAATGCATCAATTGGCTTAGGCCAAGGTCATGTGCTTTACCTTAGACTGAGGATAGGCTCCTCTCAGATCCTGTGGCCTGAGAATGGAAACAAGAGCTATGGTGAGAAGATAGTGAATGACTGCTGGAAAGGCAGGTAAGACCTATGTTCTATGCATACCAGAGGTAACATTTAATCTACTTCAAACCACAAAGTAACTATAACAGCTTGTATTTGCCCCTACCCTTCTTACCCCCAACACACACATGGTCTTATTAACATAAGTAGCTGAGAGCTTGAGATGCATTGTGCAATAGGAGAACATATGAGAATATATAATCTGAAGGCAGAAATCTTAGAAGACCTCAAAGAAGAGGGACAACTTTAGTATGAAAAGATATTGAGGCTGGCACTATGGCATAGCGGGTAAAGCCGCCGGCTGCAGTGCTGGCATCCCTTATGAGGGCTGGTTCGAGACCTGGCTGCTCTACTTCCGATCCAGCTCTCTGCTGTAGCCTGGGAAAGCAGTAAAAGATGGCCCACGTCCCTGGGACTCTGCACCCATGTGGAAGACCTAGAAAAAGCTCTGATTCCTGGCTTCGGAACAGCCCAGCTCTGGCCATTGTGGCCAATTGGGGAGTGAACCAGTGGATGGAAGACCTCTCTTTCTCTCTCTCTCTCTTTCTGCCTCTCCTTCTCTCTCTGTGTAACTCTAATTTTCAAATAAATATCTAAATCATAAAAAAAAGATATTGGAGGAACAGGACATTCCGGGGAAAGACATTCCATAAAAGCACAAAGACCAGAGGTGGGAAAAAGTAGAGCAAACATATCAATAAAAGCAGAGGTTGGGGTCAAAGAGGAGATGATTAAGAGCTGAGGAAAGGTCAATCAGTGAGCTCAGGGCTTAAACAGCTTGACTTTTATTCTAAATGTGCTATGATATAAGTCAGCAAACATTTTCTGTAAAGATAGCAAATATTACAAGTTTTGCAGGCCAATATGCAAAATCACTGATATTATATAAGTACTTCTACAACAAAACAGAAGAAAATTTCTCCAAATTTTTATGGATGAAATTCAAAATGTAATAATACTGAGTACAAACATTTTTCCCTTTTATTCTAATACAGGTCCACCCGTACCACAGGTTCTCCTTTTTTTTTAAGATTTATTTATTTATTTGAAAATCAGAGTTATATAGAAAGAGGAAAGGAGAGGAATAGAGAGAGAGAGGTCTTCCATCTGCTGGTTCACTCCCCAGATGGCTGCAGCGGCTGGAGCTGTGCTGATCCAAAGCCAGGAGCCAAGGGCTTCTTCCAAGTCTCCCATGTGGGTACAGGGGCCCAAGGACTTGGGCCATCTTCTACTGCTTTCCCAGGCCATAGCAGAGAGCTGGATTGGAAGAGGAGCAGCAGAGACTAGAACCAACAAGCCCATATGGGGTGCCAGTGCTTCAGGCCAGGGTGTTAACCTGCTGCTCCACAGCGCCAGCCCCATATATTCTCCTTTTAGGGGGATCACATTTTACTTGATTGGAGTACATTACAAATGCTCCCCTGTAAAAAAATTATTCTTAGCTCACAAGTTGTAAAAAAAAATAGGCAGCTAGATTTGACCTATGTGCTATAGTTTGTAAAATTTTGCACTAGGATATTATTTTGAGTTTTAGAGAAGGGAAAGTGATCTCATCACAATGTTGTTTACCTAAGAAAGAAACAGACTGGAGGCAGTATAGTAGTCCACCTTTATCTATAGTTTAACTTTTTGTATTTTCATTTACCCAAAGTCAACAGTGATCCAAGAGTATTGAATGGAAAATTCCAGAAATAAACAATACATACTTTTTTTCCCCTAAAGAAACCTTTTATTTAAGGAATACAAACTTCATGCATTTCACAAGTACAACTTTAGGAAAACAGTGATATTTCCCACCATACCTGCCCTCCCATCTACACTCCCACCCCTCCTCTTCCTCCCTCTCTCATTCCCAGCTCCATTCTCCACTAAGATCCATTTTGAATTAACTTTGTACATGGAAAACCAACTCTTTACTAAGTAAAGACTTCAACAATTTGCACGGAAAAAAAAAAAAAAACCTGTTCCTTAACAGTCGAGACAAGGGCTGTTCAAAGTCATTGCATTTTTAAGTTAATTTCACTTTTTTTTTAAAAGAAACTTAATTAACTTCAAAGAAGCACCCAAGAATGATATATCTTTTGCTAGCACGTAGACATAATTTAATACAACTCTTTGAGGACTGAGATCACATGGGATGTTAGTGCACAGTGATTCCTGTTGTTAATTTAATAATTAACACTATTTATATGACATCAGTGACCACCCGAGGTTCTTGACATGAGCTGCGTAGGCTATGGAAGCCTTTTGAATCCACAAACTCTGCCAGTATTTAGACAAGGCCATAAGCAAAATGGAAGTTCTCTACTCCCTTCAGAGAAAAGTACCTCCTTCTTTGATGACCACTTATTTTTGGGGTCTCACCCACTGAGGTCCTTCATGTAGGACATTTTTTGCCAGTGTCCTGGCTTTTATGCCTGAAATGCTTCTCATGGGCTTTTCAGCCAGATCAGAATGCCTTAAGGGCTGATTTTGAGGTCAGAGTGCTACTTAAAGCAATTGTCATTCTATGAGTTTGCTGTGTGGACTGCTTCCCATGTTGGAACATTCACTCCTTTTTAATTCTGTTATCATTACCAGACACTTAATCCTATCCATATGATCAGTTTAACACTTAAGATGGTATTTTTAACACCCAGATTAAGGGGCTTTGGGGTCCCATGGCAAGTTTTTAAACTGTACGTTATAAATCTTAAAATAAAGGGGGGTGGCGTTGTGGCATAATGGGTTAAGCTGCCACCTGCAGTGCCAGCATCCCATATGGGTGCTGATTCAAGACCCGGCTGCTCCACTTCCCATCCTGCTCTC